TCTGTGGCACGACAACCCACTGTTCATGCACAGTAAAAATCAAGAATTCGGTGGCAGACAAGTCACTATTCGTCCACAGTAAAAAGTAAAGATTCTGTGGCAGACAAGTCACTGTTCATTCAACAGTAAAAAGCACACAGTAAGATTTCCTCAAATTTTTCTATAATAATGGGAGCCTATCCCCCATGTAGGCATAAGTTGTTTATGGACTTATCAACTGGAACCTAAACACTCTCCCTTTCCTTCCAAACGTTTTTTGTAAGGATTTCAAGGTGTAGAGCTTTCCAAGTAAGTAAAACTTAGATTTGTAAATTTTAATTTATAATTGTATTTATATTTTTGTAATTAAATAAAGTTTTATATTTTAGTTGTATAATTGCTACTTCTTAAAGCCCTGTTAAAAGGGGCTTTCTTCTGCTTCTCCACTCCACAATCTGACCTTGATTTCTGGGGATCCCAGGTCAAGGTTGGCAGGAACCCTAAACCTTTAAAATTGTTCCTTGTGTAAAATTGTATGTTGTATATAAGTATGCTCTGGGTTGCACCTTAGTGTGATCTTCCACATCAGAAAAAATTGGTAAAATGTGTGATCTTCCACATCAGAAATATTGTTCATAAACATATACTGTTCATTAACTGTTCAGATTAAAACGGATACTGTTTATCTTTAAACAACTACTGTTCAAGCGAGAGGGGATTACAGCCCAATATTTAAGCGAGAGGGGATTAGCCCGAAGGTCTAAGCGAGAGGGGATTGGTTACCCGCACCTCAGGATCGTGACAACTTGCGGTACCACTTAATTCTGTTTTACGGGCTAATCGATTTTGTGCCTCACGACACGCCCAACCTACCCCATCAAAGGGCTGACGCGCAAAACTAAGTGACGTCCCGCACTCGAAGTCGGGCCCTTGGCCACAGAGCCGCATTCGTCGAATAGGGTAACCTGGGGGTAAATCATAGTATTTTCTTATTACTTCCGCAAAAAATTGGTATCAGAGCCAAACGGTTCATTAAAATCTTGTGCATAAAATTGTATATCTTTTCAAATCGAAACAGTGTTTGTTTCTAAATAGTTAAATTTTGATCTACACAGTAAGTGTTTTTCAACAGTACAATCAGATATACTTCCTCATCATAGCATAAAAATTAAAATCTTTTATAATATCCACACGTGTGCTGTAGTACACAGAAGTATTTATTTTAAAATTATTAGTTCCTTTATATCATAAAGTTATTAGTTCCTTTATATAATAAAGTAAATCCATTTGAATTTATCAAATTAAGTATTGGGTATGCCGTTTGAACTTGTAAGTATTGGGTATGCCATTTTGTACCATCCGACTTGCCATTTGTGAACCCATGAGTAAGTCCCGAGGAAGGGCAGTGATAGGGTATGGTCCGGTAGACAGGATTAGGGTATATCAGGCTCAGACCGCTACTTAAAGTAAGGCACTGACCGCGACTTATTTGGTTAGCTAAAATGGATCCTTTGTTATATAAATCTATTAATAATGATAAAATAAATGTTTCTGCATCTTCAGACACTCATCGGATAATTCAAAAAAAATATGAATGTAGATTTTCAAAATTTACTGGAAAGCTATTGATGATGAAAAACATTCTTTAAAATTGAAAAAGAACATATTAAAACATCATTAAAATTTCTTAACAAGAAGAAATTAAAACAGATTTTTATAAAAGGAAATTACACAAACTTACAAGAAGAAATTAAAACAGATTTTATAAAAGAAATTACACAACCTTTAAATTTAATAAAATTAAATAAGATCATAAAATCAAGAATATTTCAATTATAGATTAAAAAATCATACTGGTATATCATTCTTTGATTGGTATACATTAATTAAAGATAATAAAGATAATAAACGTTTAAAGTCAAGTCGTAAAAGAACTAAAAAACCTGATTTTAAAGAGATAATCTGTAAATCTAAGTCTAAAAATGAATTAGTTCGTCTATTAAAAGATTCACTAAGTAAACTTGAGGTTCAATCTAACACTACTCAACCAGTAGCTATGAACATTCCTCAAACCTCTAATAGTCAAACAGCCAATCCTAAAATCAATAAACTTGACTATAAAACTATTATGTTTTTTGTGTGGTAAGATAGGCCATACATCCAAGTTTTGTAAATTGAATCCCACATTTCGTCAATTTTTGAAAGAAAAATCTAAACGAAAGAAATCAAATAAAATTAAAAATTCAATTTGTTATAACTGTGGTGTTCAAGGCCATCAGTCAAAATTTTGTCGATTACAAAATAAATTAAACACAGATTCTAAACCAATAATAAAAGAACAATTAAGTAAAATTGAAGTTCCTAGTACTTCTCAAGAATCAAGGAACATAAATATGATAGAAGAAAACACCAACTCTAATGTTAGTGAAAACCAATCTTGATGCTTTAGTAAACCTGACTTCAGAGATGCTAAAGATTTGAATTAAACCATATAACTCATAATAACAATAGCTAAATAGGCCACCAGACTTAGAATTTATTGATAAACCTAATTCGTTATCTTTCATAAATTATTAAATGGCTTCAACAATCTATTGGAATGGAACATAGATGTTTAAGTGAATATAACATATTAAGTATTTTGCAACAAATGCACAATTGTGGCTGCAAATGCTTATTAAAAACACAGTCAATTATTATCTGATAAAACTATAGGCCAGAAATCTTAATTGCTGGCTTTACCGGCCCAACTTAAAAGATGGTCTGGGATTATCACTCACTTGAAAACAAACATGAAGACATTCTAAATTCAATTAAAATTTGATGAGATGAGCAACTATTATATGATGAAAATGCGTGAATGTAATAACAAGATGCAGTGTCATCTTTAATTTCTCACAAAATTCACTTCCATTGTTATAGGAGATCCTATTCTCATATTAAAGATAAAAAATGCCAGAATTATATAAGTTATTTAAAAATGTCGGCACATTACGGGATTTTCAAGACTATAAAACCACTTCTTTCTCACCAGATTAATTGTTAAGGAAGATTCAAGCAATCCCTTTTGGCAAAGAAAAATCTTGCTGGATTACCTATATTTTTTGGTGGGAAAAAGTAGGGAATTTTTTATAAACGAGCAACATGGTTAATCCTATACCTTACGATTAATTACATATGGTCAATTAATTAGTATAATTTATAAACGAAGGTTCTACAAATCTGTCATTGATTGGAAACTTCAAAGAAATTTAAAATATTGAAATTTGCCAACAAACTAAAGAGAATTTAGGATCTTATTTGTAAACAATTTGATTATGACATCACATCTCCCTCCAGATGTGATGGCTCAGTGCTTCTAGGCAAACTCATACCTAATAAACATTGATAAAGACATCATAAGATTAAATATTATCAAAAAGCACAACTTGATTCTAATAAAAGAAAATATCATAAACTTTCTTTATACACGATTTGACATAGTATATACAATTGGTAAGAAGGACATACTTCTAACTTTTGTAAATTCAATAAAAATTAATGCAGTTAAATTTAGAAAAGAAGTTTTGAATAAATCTTAAAACTGTATATTGATTCAGATATTCAGGAATCTGAATTTAGAAAAAGGTAAATCAAATTGATTGATTAGATTCAACAACCAGTTCATCCGAATAAAATTATTTTTGTACTATTTATACCAGTATTTTTGCTATATTCTAGCTAAAATGTATTTCTAGTAAAATTCCATAGTATATACTTGTTTGATAAACAGTACTTATTTTTAAAGTACGATCTAAACAGTAACTGTTTTTGAAAACAGTATTGATATATATAGGCTGGAAACCCAGAAGTGCGGGCTACTGGTCCAAAGGACTATTTAATTAGTCGTTTTCTTGGTATAACAACGCCACGTATCATACTTAAAATCATTTTCATAATTTAAATTCATATTTTTGACTTTACTATATCTCTATCTATAACTACTTTCCTATATTTTGCTCTGCCTATTTTAAATCTTCCTTGCAGCCTTACAAGGACAATGGAAAGAAAGAACGCTACTGGGAGAAACACTCTGACTTAATTCTTGAGCGACAAATATCGGTGTCCAGTCCATGGGGGGCTTCTCACTTTGCTGACCTTGTTGACGAAAGCAGAGCGCCCTCTTACCCCCGAAGCAGAGGCTCTTACCCCCAGGTTACCCTATTCGACGTATGCGGCTCTGTGGCCAAGGACCCTCGTTTGGGTGGGGACGTCACTTAGCATTGCGCATCAGCCCTTAAATGGGGTAGGTTGGGCGTGTCGTGAGGCACAAATCGATTCAGCCCGTAAAACAGAATTAAGTGGTACCGCAAGTTGTCACGGGCCGAAAAGAAATCTTATTTTCTTTCAAATTTGATATTCAGCCCGTAAAACAGAATTAAGTGGTACCGCAAGTTGTCACGATCCTGAGGTGCGGGTAACCAATCCCCTCTCGCTTAGACCTTCGGACACCTATTCTTAATAATAGTTTTTTATTTTCTTTTTTATTATCAAATAATTTATAACTATTATCATTTTAATTTAGGAAGTGATTTATATCTCTTTTGTAATCAATAAATGGTCTCTTAATAATTAAATATTTTTAATTATTTTGATATTTTTTATTTTAAATTCTAAATCTGTTTGATTTCAAAAAAAATATTGATTAGGAAACTCAAAAAAAATTATAATTATATATTTCTAATTTTGATCACTTTTAAAATTTCAAGAATTTATCTGTATGTGTATATATTATTTTTTCTAATAAACTGAGTAAATAATACTACTATTGTAGCATAAAAAAAAAATCCATTATCAATTCAATGATTAAGTATATAAGAAGTAAGTTTATAATGCAATATAAATTAATCACTTATATATATTTTAATATAAATAAAAACGTATACTTTAATATTATATAAATAAAAAAAATTAAAAGAAAAGTGAAAACGTATACTACTAATATAAAAAAAGAAAAATATAATACTGAAACGAGAGAACATATATGTAGATGCTTGTAATGAGAAAGCCCCCCTGTCAGTTGTTCTAGAACCCCAAATTGAAATTTCAAAATTGAAAAGTGAGAGAGCCCTTCTCTGCAGTGTTACTTCTAAAACCAGCAATTGGCCCCAAATCTACAGCTCCATTTTCTACTCTTCAGGTTCATGCCTTAATTTCTTTACTTACCTGCATTTCTCTCTGTTTGGCGGCCGAGAAAGTTTGAACTTTGAAGAGATTTCTCTCTATGTTATAAAAAATTTCAGTTTATTTTCCTATTCATTACTTTGATATTGCAAATTTATTGTTGCAGGTTATATATCCGCATGTAAACAGAAATGTCGCTGCTCAGTCGGTTCTTTTATAAGAGGCCTCCCGATGGATTGCTTGAATTTGTTGATAGAGTATACGGTAACGCCAAATTTCGCAGAGCTCTGTCTACATTTGAAATTGTAATGATTTTAGTTTTATTTCAATGTCTGATATATTTTTGTTTTGTTTCTTTCTTTTTTTCTTTTTGTTTATGTCTATGTTTATGGGCAGTTTTTGATTCTTGCTTTTCCACTGAAGTTTTGCCTGATGAAATGTACCAAATATATCTACATGAAATTGTAGCTGAGTTACATGAGGAATTTCCTGACTCGTCTTTCCTCGCTTTCAATTTTCGTGAGGGTGAGAAAAGGAGTCAATTTGCAAAAATTCTATGCCAATATGATGTTACTGTCATGGATTATCCGCGACAGTACGAGGGTTGCCCTCTTCTACCACTGTCTTTGATTCAGCATTTTCTTCGTGTTTCTGAGAGTTGGCTTTCCTTTGGGAATCATCAGAATATCATCCTTATCCATTGTGAGAGAGGGGGTTGGCCACTTTTGGCATACCTTTTGGCTAGTTTCTTGATTTTTAACAAGTTCCATAGTGGTGAACGAAGAACTCTTGAAATTGTGCATAGAGAGGCTCCTAAAGGGTTCTTGCAGCTGTTGTCACCTTTTAATCCTTTCCCGTCTCAGCTACGCTACCTTCAGTATGTAGCCAGAAGAAATATAGCACCTGAGTGGCCTCCTCCAGAACGAACACTTTCGTTGGATTGTGTTATTCTTCGTGCAATTCCAAGCTTCGACTCTGAAAATGGCTGCAGGCCTATCATCAGAATATTTGGTAGGGATCTCCACACCAAAGGTGGGCTTTCGACTCATATGCTCTTCTCCATGTCCAAGAAGAAGAAGACCAATCTTCGACATTATTGCCAGGTGAGAGGCTTCTTGTTCTTCTCCATCTTGTATCATTCTATATTCGATTTTTATTCACTGGGGCAATATGAATATGAATGTTCTGAAATTCCAGGCAGATTGTGATGTGATTAAGATTGACATTCAGTGTTGGGTGCAAGGAGATGTTGTGTTGGAATGTCTGCATCTGGACTTGGAACCAGAAAGGGAGGTTATGATGTTTCGTGTAATGTTTAATACTGCATTTATTCGGTCTAACATATTAATGCTCAATGCTGACAACTTGGACATTCTCTGGGAATCTAAGGAACGGTATCCAAAAGGCTTCCGAGCAGAGGTGAAATAAATTACTTGTTGAATTTAACACTTCTTTAACTCCTTCTGTTCAGAAGTTTGCAACCTGTGTAACAAAATTAATCTTTTAAGTGCAGATTTTGTTTGGAGAGGCAGAAAGTATATCCCCACCAAAGGCTCCAACCACAATTTTAAATGGTGAGGAGAAAGGTGGATTGCCAATTGAAGCTTTTTCTAGGGTTCAAGAACTTTTCAATGGGGTTGAGTGGGTTGATCACAATGATGATGCTGCCTTGTGGTTACTCAAACAACTTTCTGTCTTGAATGATGCTAGAGAATTTTCAAGATTACAAAATAAAGGCAGTTCATATGTATCACCTATTGACTCTGAAGAAGAATATAATGCTTCTAGTGCTGCTGACAGTTCAGATGAAGCATTTGAATTTACTTCCAAAGTTTCGACTGATTCAACTCTCTTACCTATTGACAATGATGGTCATCCAGATTCAAATAGTGCTTCTGAACCTCCAGTTGAAGTTTCATTCGAAGTTGTTCCATCCTCCCTTACTCAGCAACTATTAAGTGAAGGAACACCACTTTCTTCATCCACTCCAACTCGGCTTCCACCACCTATTGCTAGAACACCCCAGCCTCCACCTCCACCTCCACCTCCACCTCCACCTCCTTCTCCTTCACTTTCGTTTTCTACTCAAACTCCTTTGTCAAAACCCCCACCCCCACCCCCACCACCACCACCACAACCCCACCCCCACCACCACCACCGCCGCCGCCGCCGCCTATACATGGTGATTTCAATGGTGGACCTCCTCTGCCACCTCCATTGCCGCCTCCTCTACCTAGTGTTTCCACTCAAGATTCGTCAATACTTCCTGCTCTAACTACCATTGGAGCTCCTCAACCACCTCCTTGTCCACCTCCACCTCCTAACTTCAGTAAACCTATTTCTTCACCACCTCTGTCACCTCCACCACCACCTCCACCTCCACCTCCTAGTTTCTCCAGTAAAGATTCTTACGCATCACTTCCTGCTACTAATGAAGGTCCACCATTGCCTCCACCTCCACCACCTCTCAATTCTTCTAAAGGTCCCCCACCAGCTCCTCCACCTCCTCTTTTTTCAACATCTAAGCAAAATTCTTTGTCGTCGCCGCCGCCACCACCACCACCACCAAGGCCACCATCTTTGATTAGCACAACCACTAGTCTAAAGTGTCCAACAACGCCAGCTCCACCACCTCCACCACCTTTGCCATCTCAGACACAGTCTTTGAGTTCAACCTCTTTCCGGGCACCTCCTCCTGCACCTCCTCCACCACCTTTGGGCCGCAATGGTAGTAATACCTTGAAACCACCTTCCCCTCTCCCCCCCCCTCCTCCTCCTCCTCCCTCCTCCTCCTTCCTCCTGCTTCAAAGGAACAAAAGCAGCCTAGTTCTGTTCCCCCCCCCCCCCCCCCCCCTCCTCCTCCTCCTCCTCCTGCTTCAGGAACAAAGCAGCCTAGTTCTGTTCCTCCACCTGCACCCAAGCTTCCTGCTGCTCCCCCTCCACCACCAGGTCATAGCAGAGCACCAGGTCCACCACCACCACCTCCTGCAGGAGCAAAGATTTCTAATGTGCCACCTCCACCACCTCCATCTATTGGAAGAGCAAGACCTTCTTCAGGTTCAGTTGGTCAAGGAAGAGGTAGGAGTATTGGGACTGGTAATGCCCCAAGGAAAACTTCGCTAAAACCTTTACATTGGGTGAAAGTTACTCGAGCAGTGCAAGGGAGTTTGTGGGCAGATTCACAGAAACAAGAAAATCTGTCTAGGTGTGTACATTTTAGTCATTTTATTTTACTTCTTACCCCATTAATTATAACAATTACCCTGCTTATGTTTTAGCCTTCTTCCCTGCATCTTCTCCTGGTGATTGGGAGTGAGGGAGGAGGGTTGCACTTCTGAATGTTGCCTAATAGAACTCTCTGGTAGGGCCCCTGAAATTGATATATCGGAACTTGAAAGCTTGTTCTCAGCTGCTTCTGCTTCAGATGGGAGTGGCAGTAATAAAGCTGGAGGTCGACGTGGTTCTAACATTAACAAACCTGAGAAAGTGCAATTGGTGAGGCATTTTATTTTTTTGGTAGTTGCATCATGCTTATTATTGGCATTTCTAGGTAATATTCAAAAGAACATAAGATCAGTTGTCTAAATTGGTCTAAAAAATAATTTCTTTTAAGTAATAAATCTTGGTACTTGGAGGACAGGATCCTGAGAAGAAAAGGATGAAAATAGAGGAGTAATATAGTTTGTAAGAATCGAATCTTTCTGCACCATGAAGAATAAAATGAAAGATATACTTAAGAACCTTGAAATAAATATCCAGTCAAAAGTGAAGATCAAATTCTTAGTGATGCAGGACTGTGCAAGCAACTCAGATTGTTTGAAATTTTGAGGTGTAAGCTGAATTCTCCATATTCCCTAGTGAAGAAGTTCCAAATTAGGTGTAAAATCTGCCATTAGCTGTTCCTAGTCTAGGAGATGATATATAGTGTAGCTTGTGATTAGGAATTTGAGAAGTTGGCTTAATGAATAAGTACATGACTGGCAATGGCAAGCCTCAATCCTTAGCAGATCTATGTGAATAGTTTCACATTGGATGCTATCTCAAGGTCTCTTTCTACATGAAGCAAATCATAGGAATCTTGTATTAATTAGTTGATCAGACTTCAAGCAGCACCAAAGCCTTTTGTTGTTCTTTGTTGGTCCAATTAAAGGTTTTTAACCAGTTAATTTTCATGGAATAAATTCCAAAATTAATATTGTGATTATGTGAAAGTGAGGACGGAGATAACTGTAAAGGAGTTGAATAAGATGACAATGAAGCGAAGGATCAAAATTGCTACTTTAATCATGTGAATTTGAGTGCATACTGCATAGTTTGTAAGACACCGATGCAGATCTGAAGCTCTTTATGAAGTTCATCTTCTTTACTTTCTGTTGCAGAATAGTGGACAAGTAGAGAATTCACAATGTGTGTAATTATAACATAGTTGCTTATATCATAACTCATAAACAGGATAAAAAATGGTGGTTTTTATTCCTTGAGCATTCAAATAAAATGAATTATGGCTTGTTTGGGAATGCAGGAAAGGTTGAGGAATTTGTTTTGTCACTATCCAGGAGCCATAGAGAAAAAGAGGGAATAACTTTTGAACTGTAAACTAATACCATAGGTCCTGCAGAAACCTTGTGCCCTGATTTGGGGAGAAAAGATAGGGAAATGAAGCATTTAAAAGACACGAATTGAATAAATTTGCATTTTAAAAAAATCTTTGGCCATGGTTATTGTGCATCTATCTGTATTCTCTCTCTTCCTTTATATATTTATTTATTTATTTATTTATTCATTTATTTTTCTTGTGTACTTGCCTGTCAAGCTAAAATATTATTATATTTGACTACAAAACTGTTGGTTTATTAGCTTCCTTTTGAGTATTATCGCATTCACTATATAGAGAAAAGAATTTCTGGTGAAATACCTTTAGCAATAAAAGGATATTTAAACATTTGTCTCAATTTTAATCAAAATTGAGAAGAATATTTTATCTTTAATATTTTTTTATTCCCTCTTGTCCTGTCTCCCTTCTCCACCCTTCCCTCCCCCTCTCCTTCTACACCTTCTGTCTGGCACCCAACTCTCTTGTTGTCTCTTTCACAATGCAAGTAGAGATTCACTTGGCAAGCATGTAAGGGGTGGGGATATTTTAAAAGTTTTGAAATGTGTTGCTCATCTGTTTGTTTTCAACTGTTGGATTTACTTGTATTAATAATCTTTATCTCTTGCAAACATGTATTGCCGTCTTATTTTGGGCATATGTCGACCATACATCCTGGGATGTTCTTTTTCGCTTCCTGTTCATTGTGAAATCTCACTTCCCTTTTGACTTTGGAAGTATAAGAATTATCTCTAACTTGACTCAAACTTCCTGGTTTTGTTTCCTTCTGCAGGTTGACTTGCGTAGAGCATATAATTGTGAAATAATGCTCACAAAAATAAAAGTGCCTTTGCCAGAAATGATTGTAAGTCCATGTTTTACCTTACATAATGCAAGTTGATTTGCTGATTCTTAGACTTCTATGTCTGATCTTGAGAAGAAAAATCCCTTACATAATGATTTGCAAGGTGAGAATCTTGCCGAAAGTAACCACCTCTTAAGAATTCGGCCTGTTATTTGTTAAATATCTTTCATTTTTTTCCTTTATATTCAAATATTGTCCCCAAAATAGTAGGTTCTTTATGAGTGTAATATTTTGGTTTGGTTTCTGTTTGAACAAGAAATTTGAAACATGATCTGAATGAAGTTTTGAGGTTTATTTTGGTGGATAAAAAATTTGATTACCATTGAAAATTAACTTTTTTAAAAGTTCCATAATGTTCAAGTGATGAATATTCAAAATGCTAAAGCATTTGTATCCTTCCTCAATGACCACACCCAAAAAAAAAAAAAAAATCGTCTAAAGAAGCTGTGGTAAGCAATAGAGAAGCAAATTAGTGATGGTCAGATATGAGGGAGGCTTGAATCTTGCAATTGCTGTCCCAGGTTCTTTTATGTCTGGATCAGCTAAAATATGTCTTGGCCTCTTGGCCAGTGTACAGTTCTGTAAACGGCCAGTCCTCTCTTTTGCTCATTCTGGTCAGCCTTTGATTCATTGAACCAGCATAAATCCAGTTCTGTCTCTCTGTTTTTTTTTTTTTTTTTTTTTTAGAAATTACCGTGATGTTGCATCAGAGTATGAGAGGAGAGCATATTGGAATCTTGCAATTCCTATGGACGACTCTGAGTCCACAGGTATACTTTACAATGACTCTGGATTCAGGCCTTATATAGTGGTCCTTATGAGGCTCATCTATGGCAACAATTGGTACAACGTTTATCAATCTGTTACAACTGGCCCATGTCCTCTATTTTGCCTCATTTTCGGCAGGCGACTTAATGGATTCCAATATGAATCAGTAATTTATCTCATGTTCTGGTGGGCAGGCCATGTTTTTATTTTTATTTCTTACCAATATTTTATTTTTTTTTTTGTACCATGCAATCATGCGCCAATGCCTAACTCCTGCAGAAGGATTAATAGAGCAGGCAATCGCTTCTCAATTTCTGGAGTTCAGTATTAATGTATTGATGTCCATAAGAATAATTTCTTTTTTTTTTTTTTTTTTTTTTTTAATGAACTATGCCTCTCTTTTGCCATCCTCAATCTCAGTTTAAGTTTGCTGTCCAGAAATTCCTGCAACCTATTTCTGTTATTCTAGTTCATAGAAAAGCTACTTTTGCCCTAAAACATTATGCAATCCGATCCAAATTATGTCAGTCTAAATATCTTGGAATCCTGATTTTCATTTCTGAACCTTGGTCCCAGTCATATCAAACCCTCAACTTTGAAGGCAATATGTACTTCCAATTGTCACTCTAGTTTTTTCACTGCCCTTGTTATCCTCACCAGTTTCTCTCCTTAAATCCATCACTATGAAGTCAATACTTATGTTCTAGAAACTCAATTTGATGGCTGATAAATATTTTTATCTTGTTGGCAGTCCGACTCAAGAAACCACCACCTCAGTCGGCACATGTTAACATATGCTATATCAGTTGGACTTAGACACTGTTTAAACTTATTGCTATTATTGTTTGTATCATTACAAACGACAACCATGAAGCCTTAATTCCAAACAATTGTTTGGACCATTGGGAGAGAAAAATTGCAAGAGAAAAAGAAATGCACATCCATGCTTTTAAATTCGATATGAAGGAAAGGAGACTTTGATTTTGCTAGTTAATTGTATGCTTTTGTTGTCACTTCTATGGAGATGATGGCTTCTGCTGTCACCTGCCTTTTTGAAGGGTGTATTACCTCATGGACTTTTGAAATTTTGTTTCATTTTTAATCTTTTTTTTTTTTTTTTTTTTTTTTTTTTTTTTTTTTTTTTTTTGTGAAAAATTGGATTTTTTTTAACTATTTCCATATTTTTTATTTCCAGAATGCAAGTTATAGCTTTGGATTCTTCTCTTAGACATTGACCAGGTTGAGAATCTCATCAAATTTTGTCCGACTAAGGAAGAAATGGAGACGCCTGAAGGTAATTTTTTTTTTATCTTATTTCTTATGATAGGCATATGATGGCCACTGTCTGTAAAATTTTTTTTTTTTTTTTTTTTTTTTTTGTGAAATTGATTTTTTTAACTATTTCATATTTTATTTCCAGAATGCAGTTCTAGCTTTGGATTCTTCATCTTTAGACATTGACCAGGTTGAGAATCTCATCAAATTTTGTCCGACTAAGGAAGAAATGGAGACGCTGAAGGTATTTTTTTTTTATCTTATTTGCTTATGATAGGCATATGATGGCCACTGTCTGTAATGTTTGATTTGAATGAGAGACATTATAGCAGCTCTTTTCTTTATTTTTTTTAAAGAGTTTTTCATCTAGAAATCAACTGTTGATCGATTCAACTATGTAAGCGAGCTCATTGTGATCTCATGGACAGTAATGTATTTTATATTTTAAAAAAAAGTAGAAGTTGGAGATAAAAATGAGCGAAAGATGCCTGAGATGATATGGTCATGTATTATATAGGCTCCCACATGCCTTGGTTCGTAAATGTGATATTGTGGTGGTGGAGAGTATTAAAGGGGAAGAGGTCAACTATAACTATTTGGAGGGAAGTTCTCACAAAGGATCTACAACCTTTGGATATTAGTGAGGCTGAACAAAACAGAATGGAGACAAAAGATTCATATAGCAGACCCTAGTTGTATTGCCTATTAATGCTCTATTCTTTTATTAATATATCAAATGTTTAAAATTTTTCTTCAACAATCTTTCATAAGTATTTCAAATATTTTTTTTTGGGCTAAACTTTGCTTTGCATGCTCGACTAGAGCGGATGTTGAAAACAAAGGAATCATATAGCTGAAGCTAATTAATTTGAGACTAAGGCTTAGCAGTTGTTGTAAAAAAGAAAGAAATAAATAAATAAAGAGGCCAAAGGTGCTTTCTCAATCAGCCTTTCTGTGCAAGGGGGCAAAAGAACACTTGTGTTAAGGTTTTTCTATGGCATACGACCAGGTTCTCTCTCTCCCCCGCCTTTATCCCCCTTTATTTTTTTAATTCCATCTTCTCTGTTCTTCTCCGCTCCAATTTTCATTTTCTTCTCTTCCAGCCTCTCTCCTCTACCTTTCTTTTCCTTTTTTCATATGTTTTTTTTCATATCTAATATTCTCTCACAGTTAATCCAAAATATGATATCTTGTGCTTCCCTTTCTTCATTCTACCTCTGTCTTCTCAATGTACCAATAAAGACTAGTAACTTTTAAGAGATTGCAATTTTCCTTTTTGTACTATTTCTAAGAGAATGACTTCTCTCTCTATATATGCAAAGTTATAGATGTGTAAGGGATGAATGCAAGATTAAAACTCATTGCAAATACGTAAGTAAGCTTTTGATTGTGAATGTGAGACCGAGATCGGGACAAATCCTTTTTATTGGGAATGGGTTGTTGAACTCTTGAGATGTATTTGTCATGAAATGACTTTTCTATATGTAGGTTCTTGTGATCTGATTATCACGAGTTTACCTGCTTTTTCATATTTAACTCAATTGTATCTACTCTCATTTTTTTTTTTTCTTTCCCAACTTTTATTTTCCCGGATGCCTCCTTTGTCCTATCTCCTTTTTTGATGCTTTTGTATCCTGTTTCTTATCTTTTTTTTGGTTTAACCTTTGATGCTTCTGTTGCTTAATTTTTAAAGAAGAATCTTCTACCATTTGTCTAGCTTGCATTGATGTCAAGCCTTTTGCTATAGGAGAACAAAAGAGGTTAGATTGACAGAGTGCAACTTATTCTTAAAGTTATGATGAAGACAACTTCGTCTCTTGATGATATGTAATCATCTATGATTATTTCAGGGGATATTACTATTTTGTAGGAGTTTAGAATTATGGTTTAAGACATTTTGACTTCTTAATGATTATTATTATTATTATTAATTTTTTTTTGAATTTGGTGCTAGAGTTGAAAATTTTCATTTTATGAGTTTTCATTTTATTTTTTTTTGCACCTTTCCTTGTGCTTGAGCTTGTGGCTGGATTGCACAACCTCTTTGCACTTTGATGCACATTGCACCTTTAATAACTAAGGGTGCAGTCTCTATAGGGCCTTTGCAACTTAATGCAACTTGAGTCTTTGGTTGTGTTTGACGATAGCTTTTTAAGTAATTTTCAACATTTTGACCGTTCAAAATGTTAAACGCTATTTTTTATAGTGTTTGGTAACATAGCATTTGAACTAGCTTTTAGAGCTTAAGATAGCGTTTTATAAAAGATTAACCCATGTAACGTTTAGCTTTTAGCGTTTTATGAAAAGCTACTTAAACAACTACTAGCCAGTCAAACAACTAAACGCTACTAAAACAGCTGATAGCTATCAAAACATTTAATTTTGCTGAATAGTTCCTTTAATAACTATGTGGTGGCCGCACTCTCTGGGACATGCTTGCAAGTTGCAATCTAGGGCATCATGCAATATCTTGCTGTATAGATGTTTTTCTTAAGTATTTGGCATAAATTAATTTCTTTAGTGATTTTACTTATAAACAAAGGTCTCTGATTATTTTATATTATTGCTTGAGGTGGAAGTTATTTGCGCCTTGCTATTCAATAGAAAGAAATATATAATTACCTTACACTCTAATTTTTTACCTTATCTCTAATTCTTTAAAAGCAAAATTCGCCCCCAACACCCCTTCCCCCCTGAAAAAAAAACAAAAAATGGTGTAAGAAATGCATATGTAGATTGTAGACTAATTTTTGAGGCACATGTATGAGATATCAGCGATATAATGTGGTAGCAAAAATTAATTATTGTTCATGGTGTAATCTTATAAACAAGTGAATATATTTCTCAATCAAAGGCCAAAATGTTTATTGGGAAAAGCTAAAAGATTGGATATGTGACTTTCTATTCAACAAAGCTTTGGCAGATTGAACAATTTAGAAATTACATCATCAATTCATGGCATAAATGTAGTTAAGTTTCTTTTACGTTGAAAGAAAATGATTGTTATTTATTGTTGTTTCATACTGATTTGTTACTATATGCAGAATTACACAGGTGACAAGGAAATGCTGGGGAAGTGCGAACAGGTTAATAGTAATGTGCTAAAATCTTGAATTCAAGCAAAACCTGTTATTTGATTGCTGACTGGAATTTCATTCATTCAGTTTTTCCTAGAGTTGATGAAGGTTCCACGAGTAGAAGCTAAGCTCCGAGTATTTGCCTTCAGAATCACCTTTTCTACTCAGGTACTTTCTTGGATTGTTTTGGTTCTTATTTATATTATTTCGGAACGTCTTGTGCTTATGATTTTGTGATGTCAGGTGGATGATTTAAGATGTAATCTCAATACTATTAACAATGCTGCTAGAGAGGTACTGTAAAATTATGTATTTTGGCGTGCATAAAACGTTATGTTTGTTCTGCATCTTGAATGTTGTACATATTTCAGGTCAAAGAATCTGCAAAATTGCGTCAGATAATGCAAACAATTCTGACTTTAGGAAATGCTTTGAATCAGGGCACTGCAAGAGGTGCTACTTTGTTACTTTGAGTCACGTACTTTTCAGTAATATATCTTGTCTCTGTGCTTCTTGGTTTATTATACCTTCTTATATGTATTCACTTTTCTATCCAGGATCTGCTGTTGGATTCAAATTGGATAGTCTTCTTAAGTTATCTGATACTCGGGCTAGAAACAATAAAATGACATTAATGCACTATTTATGCAAGGTAGATTTGCAGAATCTTAATTCTGAATCTTGTTTTGCATTTTGAGTGAGTAAAGTTGTGGTTGTGAATTGTGACAGTTTTTGTTGCTTGTTGTAGCTTGAATGTGATAGCATTTGAACATGTCCTGTTTTCTTGCAAAGAAGGTTATAACTTCTAGTTTTGGGGGTCATACTGTTCTATTATAGCTATTCAGGTTTGATGTCTCTGTTTGCTAGATTTTTGTATTGAGCAAGATCCATGTAGAATGCCCGAGTTTTATTGGATTTGGCATTAATCTGAGTAATTCTGCTATAAAATTAATAAACTCAATTGATGCAGATTTTGGTGTAAAGTCTAATCATCAACATATTATGGCCATAAGGGTCAAAGTGGCTGTAAAGGACACATCAGATAATAGTAATGGTTGTCAGGGTGATTTGGAAATGGGTATCATGCAACAACCTTTACTGTAACCTTTGACCTGGATAAGAAAAGAGAAAGCCCTATTGTGGTTTATTTCGTCATTAATGATTATAATTATGGTCAAGTAAATTTGGTAGTGCAATGGATGTTGGATTTGTTTAGTGCATTGTTTGATTGCAAACTTCAATAAAAATAGAGCTTCTATTTCAGATTCCTTGTGGAACAGAAGGTTTGTTCTTCTAAATGAATTTGCCTTACTATATTGAGATGTTCACTATTTGTGTATAACTGAACTGGGCCAACGAAATGCAGTTATTATGTAGAGATAAATTTGGTTTTCGGTTTGGTGTGCTTATTGGTAATAATTGGTTTGGTTACTTCATAACTGGTAACCAAACTAAATGAAATAATTGAATTTTTATTATAAGTACACAAAAAATAATCTTATTTGTGGTCTATTATTTTTAATACATTTCTGCTGATATATAATTTGAAATTATCTTTTAGTGGTAATGTCATTAAAATTATATTTTTTTCATTCAGAATCTATTACAAAAAAACTAATTAATAACGCTTTAATTATCAATTATAATTTTTTGGTTAATTTGGTCATACCTGAATGAGTTGAAGTATTCGGTTTGGGTTATGTTCGCGTTTCCACTAAGTTCGGTTTGATTCAGTTTGTATTTTCGAGGTATTAAAAATTTTGGTTACTAAGATATTTCGGTTAAGTTGGGTTTGTTTTAGTTAACTGAATACTCATCCATACTCATGAGAAGTAATTGAAAGAAATTTGGAGCATTCTTGAATTATAATGGCGTGATATCAGAGGCTAATTTACAATGTTAATCTCTTTTTATGTCTTTAATTACAAGAAAAAGAGATGTTCATGCAAATTTCGTACTTTCTCATGAATTGACTTCAACATGTTCTGCATTATGCATTTTTCTGTAGTGTTTTTCATCGGTAGAAGCTGTTACATTTTGTGCTTCATTATAAATTAATTTTTATCTTGTTAGTCATTGACTATGGTTTTGATGTTTCATAAATTTGTAATTTTCAATGTAATGTTTCTTTGTTGGTAATGAGGCTTTCATGCTTTCATGGCATATTTTAATTGCTCTATTTGTGCTCCTATAGCTTCTTTCTGAGAAAATGCCGGAGTTGCTTGATTTTGATAAGGACCTTGTTCATATAGAAGCTGCCTCGAAGGTATAACTTCGATAGCTGTTCCTATTTGCTTCCAGGTTAGTTTTTACTTGCTGATGCTTGGTAGCTAGACTGACTGACATGTATTATTCCTTGTTTCTTTCTGCTATAAATTACTAGATTCAATTGAAAAATTTGGCTGAAGAAATGCAAGCTGTTAGTAAAGGTCTTGAAAAGGTTGAACAAGAACTTGCTGCTTCAGCCAATGATGGTGGTATCTCTGCAGGCTTCCAAAGGGTAAGGAATAATGAAGATTCTTGATTGCTTTGTTCAAATGGCTGTTTCATCATGCAATTGATTCTCTACAGTTTCAAGATGTTGACTAAGAGATTTATCACTTTCTTATTCAATTTACCGACTTTGCAAACTGTTGTTGGAAGGTCTATAGAACAAACTTACAGGATATTTGCCGTATACAAAATTGACTAATGGACATGTATGCGGTCAGTGGAAGTTCTAAATTGACCTAGGAACTAGGAAGTATGTAAAAAAAGAACAGTCTTTAAGAAATGGTTTTCAAAGATTAAAATGCTACAAAAGAAGAACTAAAGAACTTGTTAGGGTTTAGGTTTTATTATGTCTACGAGTAAAAGAATCAAAAAGAAGTTGAAGAGACCTAGGGCTCTTTTGTAGTTTTACCTATGATAACTTTTGTTATATATGTTAATGAAGAACGACTACTAAGCAGTATGATAATTCCAGGTTTTGGGACATTTTATGTATTCATTAATTCTTAAGGAAAGGAATGACAAATGGAAATGAATGCACGAATTTGCTTGTGAAGTTGATTTGAGCTTCATTTCATTTGGCATCTGATAGGTCTCATTTTGGATCTAACCTATAGTTATACTCATATCACATGGAATCCTAGAGGGAAAAGGCTTATTACTTATGGAAATCCTGGTGCTATTTTTCATAAATTTGTCAGACAATGAAAAGAAACAGGTGGAGTTTCCTATTCAATTGTAGTAATTTTCAAATTTTCCAGAAAATAGAAAAATTATGAAGTGTTTCCAGTTTCCACTTTTCCAAACATATTTTGATGCTTGAGAACAACAAAAATTATGTTCTAATTTTTTGTATGTAACTTCATTTTTCTTCTTTGCTTGTCCTTTTAGAAAAACACATGCATATATTTTATAGCTATCAGCCAAGCACCACAGCCACACTACAACAACCATCACGTAACGTCATCATTTCTATACAAACATCACTAGAAAGATCTTTACTGTTATGGAACTTGGCACCACAGCCAAATTGCTAATATTTGCAACTCTATCTCTTACTACTAACGTCCTTTCCCCTTTGTCATTAGCAGTTTGTGTGTCTGCACTGTCATTGACTGACTGCTGTCACCTTACACTATCAATAGTTACTGCTACATGTTGCCATTGCCACTCATTGCATTGTCACTATCAAATAGTTACTCCCACTTCCCTCAATAGGAAATTTAGTATAACTTTTGAATAGAAAAGAATTGACAAGAAAATCCTAAATCACCAATTACTTATATCTGATAATTATATCTTTAAATTATTTTGCTTTATTATTTTATTCGGCCACAACAGCCTTCTACTTAGGCTTAGGACCATCAAGTGTGGAAAAAGTTTGTGTTTATGCTAATACCTGCAATTGGGTTTTTTATGTTTAAATTGATTACAAGTTGTCTTCTAAGAATTTCTTTCCTAAATGGGTCAATTCTGCCTTTTGCGGATTAGGTAGGTTGATGCTATCTCATTTTCTGGTTTATATAGTAATGTTATATTGTGTTTGCAAACTGTAGTTTTTATCTAAAAATTTGTGACCTACTTATACTAATGAGATATTTGTGCCTAACTTATGGTTATTTTGAATTGCTTTTATTTTTCTATGTTCTGAGTTCTAACTTATGGTCTATTTTACTATAATATTGCTGTGGAGTAACTCAAAATACTAGATGCATATAGATAAATTTAAGTATGCCATACGTATTTATTGCTTAAATTGGCTGCTAGTAGATGATGATTTGCTTAGATCTAATTACCAGAATTATCAAGCCGAAGCCTTTCAATTTGGTTTTTGGTCACTTGAAATGTTGACCCTCTTTTGCAGGTGTTGAAGAACTTCCTTGATACTGCTGAAGCTGAAGTGAGACTACTCATCTCCTTGTATTCTGAAGTGGTTAGCATCTCTATATGGCTTTAAGATTTATTTTATGGATATCCACATGCAGTTCATTGCTGGTTAATCCTAAATGCTTGGTACCTTATCTTTCAGGGAAGAAATGCAGATTCATTGTCCCAGTACTTTGGAGAGGATCCAGCTCGTTGCCCCTTTGAGCAAGGTCAAAATGGCAATGCTGTTTTCCTTTGGTTTTCGAGGACACTTGTAGTCTTAAATTAACCTGATATTGGTTTTTGTCATTCATTCAAAATGTGAAATTGGAATATATTGATAATTTCACCACTGAGAAGTTCTGATTACTACAATTATTAGTGGTTTTTCTACTAGAACTATACAAGGTGTCATAATTCTTGGTCATTACTATATGATTTTAGAATTTGCATTAGCTTTTATATTGCAACTTCCAATTCCAAAGCTTGATATGGTCGTAGATAAGAATGGTACTCAAGCTTGATGGAACTAAGGGATTATAGGTTATTTTTCCTCTGATGCTCTAGGTTTGTGTTGTTGCTAATGCAAGCCTAAAGTTTGATGCGAGGCAGTAATGGGATACATTTTTAATGTACTGTGATCATAATATTTGAATTGATTGATGACATGTTTTGGTTATGCTTTCTCTTTGCAGTGACACAAATCTTGGTCCTCTTTGTGAAGATGTTCAAGAAGGCACGAGAAGAGAATGAAAGGCAGGCCGAGGCTGAAAAGAAGAAACTAGAAAAGGAAGCTTTGAAAGAACGGGCAGCTGCAAATTTATCAGCAAAGAAAGATGGTATTGATAGTGACAAGTTAAAACCAGGTTTACAAATCCATAAACACTCTTCATAATCCTCCTTAATAGCATAGCAACTTCAGGTCTACTCTGTATATTAGTCATGCGTACTGATCACAGCTACCCTCGAGATAGGGCTGCATCGAATAGGCGTTATCTCTTTTGCTTGCATATTTTGCAAGTTGGTCTCCTTCGGGTTAATACCGGTTTAACTACAGATGACTGAGAAAGTGTTAATGATTCAAATTTCATATAGATTAAGTAGAAAATGTATTCGACCGATGTATAGTATATGAAATGAGTCCAGAACTCCATCCTTAGTCTTCTATAGAATCGAGAATGATTAGAGTAAGTTGTGGCAGTTATGGACACAGATTCATCATATTTGAGACTTGGTGGAACAAAGATGTCTTCTTGATATTCAATGTACAGTGCATTGGCTTATTCCATTATACAATTCATGTTCTTTTGCATTTTTTGGCGTTTGGCACATCCAGGAAAATAAGCCGGATTCATAATCGATGGAAAACTGAACTTCTTTCAGTGAAAGTGATTATTTATTTATAAATATTTTCCAAATTTTGGTAAATTAATTATAATGAGAATATATATATATATTGTATTATTAATTAACGGATTATTAGTTATTACTATTGTCATTACCATCGGTTATTGTCATCACCAATGATTGCATTCTGACTATAATGAAAGAAAAACATAGAAATATATGTTAATTGATTATCTGTAATCACTGTTGTCATCATCGTGAATTATCGTTAATCACCATTGATTTTTTATAATAATTTGTTTATAACAAAAAATAAGTTCAAGAAACATATGTTTTAGAAATGGGTTGTTTTTGCCAAAAAAAATAAAATTATTTATGGACCTTTTATCGTTAATCACCATTGATTTTTTATAATAATTTGTTTATAACAAAAAATAAGTTCAAGAAACATATGTTTTAGAAATAGGTTGTTTTTGCCAAAAAAAATAAAATTATTTATGGACCTTTTCTTTTCGTGTTATGTTAAAAATATTTGAAATAGAAGTCCTAAGAGTGAATATCTATCCTGTTGCATTACAAGACGATCATTAAACATATATTATTTTGTGCATGACTTGGTTCAATTTAATTTTGCAAATCTTTATAATTTTATTTTGCTTTAAAAATCATTTCAATACTTTTAAGGACTAATTGTAAATAGAGTTTCTACTTGGAGTTAAATTCCTAATAGATTTACAGTATCTTCTATATGTATATATATGCGACCCTATTGATGAAAATATACACAATAATATTTTTCCACATTGAATTACATGGTATCAGAGTCTTTGGCTCATTAGCGTTCTTTTTCTTCTTTCTTACGCGTTGACGCTTTTGGCGAGAAACTCTTTGTTTCGTGACTGTTAGTCTAGATCTCCCACCTAGGCTTGTGCATTTGTCTCATTGCTACCAAGGAAGGAAGAGTGACCTTCGATCGGCCTCTCCACCAAATCCGGTGGCCTGAAAATCGGCAAGTGGGCCTCACGCGCCATCAACAAAATCTGACGTTGTCTCATGCGCCGGCGAGTGACGGCCTGTCCAACAGTTTTCGGCGATTGGGTTTCGTCCTCCAGGATCAACTTAGTGTCAGGAATCTTTTTCGATGGGTAGTTTTCCGATCCAGCAACATTTGGTAAGCGCTTTCTTTGTTTTTTTGCTACTGCTGTTGGTGGCTTTCTCAGTTCCTTTTGCTATGCTACTGCTCTGTTGGGTTCTTGCTATTATTTGGTGCCTCTGTTTCTGAGTTGATATTGGGTTGTCTAGTTTATATTAATAATGGCTACTGGACCTAAAGATACTAAAGTTAATATTACTGAATTGATCACAGCAATGAATAAAATCACAAAACATAAACTGAAAGGGACTAATTATTTGGATTGGAGTAAGACAATAAGAATTTATTTGTGGAGTGTTGAAAAAGATGATCATCTAATTGATGATCCACCAACTGGTGACGCTAGGCAAAGTTGGCTAAGGGAAGATGCTAAGTTATTTCTACAGATTTGAAATTCTATTGATAGTGAAGTGGTTGGGTTAATTAATCATTGCGAGTTTGTTAAAGAATTAATGGAATATCTTGAATTTTTGTACTCGGAAAAAGGTAATCTGTCTCATGTGTATGAAATCTGCAAAGGATTTTATCGGGTCGACCAGCAAAGAATTGATGAAATTCTATTGACAGTGAAGTGGTTGGGTTAATTAATCATTGCGAGTTTGTTAAAGAATTAATGAAATATCTTGAATTTTTATACTCAGAAAAAGGTAATCTGTCTCGTATCTATGAAATCTGCAAAGGATTTTATCGGTTCGACCAGCAAGATAAGCCCCTTACAACTTATTTCATGGAATTAAGAAGATTTGAGGAACTTAATCTTTTATTACCTTTTAGCCCTGATGTTAAAGTTCAACAGACTCAGCGAGAACAAATGGCTGTGATGAGTTTTCTTGTAGGTCTTGCTCCGGTTTTTGAAATTGCCAAATCATAGGTTCTTTCAGGCAGTGATATTACCTCTCTTCAGGAGAATTTCGCTAGATTACTGCATACTGAAGGATTCATACCCTTTCCCTTTCTAAAACTAGTGCCCTTGTGAGTCATAATCAAGTAGCTAGGCAGCCAGAAAATAGAGGAAGAGGAGGAAATAACCGTAGTAATGGAGTAATTAATCGGGAGATGAGCATTATTATCTACCATAATTGCCATGAATCCAGTCACACTAAACGGTATTACAAGAAACTAATAAATAAGCGGCCAAGGGCAAATATGGCCACTCAAGATTCTGTAATTGCTTCTTCTGACAACACTATAACAATTTCTGCTACGGAGTATGCTGAGCTCTTTAGATACTGTTCTTCTAAGTCTGCTGATTCCTCAATTACTGCTATTTCTAATTCAAGTACTCCGAATACATGTCTTATGTCTACCTCGTTAGAGTGGGTCATTGATTCTGGTTGCACAGGTCACATGACAGGTAACCCTAGTCTCTTATCCTCATTAAAAGAACCTAAACAATTTAATCATCATGTTACTCTAGTTGATGGGTCCACATCTTCTGTCAAGTGTATTAACACCGCTAATCCCATCCCATCCCATCTCTTTTATTGTCTTCTGTTTTTTATTTGCATCGTTTTTCATTTAATCTATTGTCTGTTAGCAAAATTACTTGTATACTGAACTGTTGTGTTAAATTTTTATCCTACTTATGATGAAGCGGATTATTATAGAGAACGTGAGTCTGGTGGCCTTTATCTTCTGAATGAACAAGTTTCGTTATCTCTGGCTTGTGCTGGTGCTCTATCTTCTCTCGAGGTTCATTGTCGTTTGGGCCATCCTTCATTGTCTACTTTAAAGAAGTTGTGTCTGCAGTTTCAGTCTTTAGCAATTTTAGAATATGAATCTTGTCAATTTGCCAAACATCATCATTTACGTTTAATTTCTTGAGTCAATAAACGATTTTCATCTCCTTTTGAGTTAATTCATTTTGATGTTTGGGGTCCATGTCCTGTTATTTCTAAAACTGGCTTTAGGTATTCTGTTACTTTTGTGGATGATTATTCTCGTGTTACTTGGTTATTTTTAATGAAAACTCGTTCTGAGATATTCTCTATTTTCTATTTCTTGTGTGCTGAGATTAAAACTCAATTTAATACTAGATATTCTCTATTTTCTATTTCTTGTGTGCTGAGATTAAAACTCAATTTAATACTTCTGTTCACATACTGCAAAGTGATAATGCTAAAAAATATCTATCTAGTTCCTTCAAAACTTATACGTCACAGAATGGTATTCTCCATCAAACATCTTATGCTGACACTCATTCTCAAAATAGGGTTGCAGAAAGAAAAAATCGACATACTCTTGAGGTTGCTAGGGCACTTCTATTCCAAATAAAGATCCCTAAACACTTTTGGGCTGATGTTGTTTCTACTGCATGTTTTTTTTATCAATCGCATGCCTTCTTCTATGCTTAATGGTGAAATTCCATATAGTGTCTTATTTCCTTCTAAGCTTCTATTTCGCATTGAACCTCGTATTTTTGGTTATATTTGTTTTGTTCATGATGTTCATCCACAGGTTTCCAAATTAGATCCAAAGTCCCTTCGTTGTGTTTTCCTTGGGCATCAAAAGGGATAGTGTTTTTTCTCTCCCGATCTTGACTGTTATCTTGTTTCTTTGTTTCTGTAGATGTCACATTCTTTGAGAATACTCCATTTTTTCCTTTTTCTATATATAAGAGTGAGGGGGAGGATGACGAGCTTTTAGTCTACACTATGCAACAACTTCCTACCTCTCCTGCACCTGCACTTGCTCCTGCTCCTGCTACAACATCTGCTGCTCCTATTCCTACTCTTGCACCAGCATTTGCTCGCCCTCGTTTTGAACAGGTTTATTCCAGAAGACCAGGGACTCTTGACTCACTTTCTCCACCCGCTGCTTCAACAGAAGATCTAGTTGCCTCTACTCAACTTGAGCCTATGCCATCCACTCCTCAGTCAGACATTGACCTTCCTATTGCTCTTCGAAAAGGTAAACACAAGTGTACCTATCCTATTTCTTCTTTTGTAGTTATGATTCATTCCTTTCTTCTTTCATCTCATTTTTTATTAGTAACTTAGGACTTCTATTTTTACCCCAAAAACTATTGTTTCAAGCTTTTGTCCATCTTGGTTGGTGTGCAACAATGAAAGAGGATATTGACTGCCTTAGATTACTAATGCTACTTGTGATTCTTGTGCCTCTCCCTTGCAGGTTAGAAAGCTTATTTGGGTCATCTTTCTTCTTCATCTCATTGTTTTATTAGTAACTTAGACTCTATTTTTACCCCAAAAACTATTGTTCAAGCTTTGTCCCATCTTGGTTGGTGTGCAACAATGAAAGAGGAGATGACTGCCTTAGATACTAATGGTACTTGTGATCTTGTGCCTCTCCCTGCAGGTAAGAAAGCTATTGGTTGTAAGTGGATTTTCACTGTTAAAGTGAATCCTGATATGTCTATTGCTCGTCTCAAGGCTCGTCTAGTTGCTAAGGGCTATTCTTAGATTTATGGCATTGATTACTCTGACACTTTTTCTCCTTTAGCCAAAATTGTCTTCTGTTCGTTTGTTTATTTCTTTAGTAGCTATTTTTGATTGGCCTTTTCATCAGTTGGATGTTAATGCGTTTCTTCATGGGGATCTTTAGGAGGAAGTTTACATGGAGTAATCGCCAGGCTTTGTTGCTCAAGGGGAGTCGAGTAAAGTGTGTAAACTTCGCAATCTTTGTGGCCTAAAACAGAGTCCTCGAGCTTGGTTTGGTAGATTTTGCAATGTGGTACACCAATTTGACATGCAAAAGAGAATTTCTGATCATTCTGTATTTTTCAGAAGTACTAAGACTGCTTTGATTCTACTTATGGTTTGTTGATGACATTGTTATTACAAGGAGTGATTCAGCTGACATTACATCACTCAAATCATTTCTCCAGACTCATTTCCAGACAAAAGACTTAAGGCTGTAGAAGTATTTTTTTTGGTATTGAAGTGTCTAGGTGTAATAGATGCATCTTCTTATCTCAAAGGAAGTATGTCCTTGACTTACTGGAGGAAACTAGAAAGTTAGGTGCCAAGCCATGCAATGCTCCAATGACTCCTAATTTGCAACTTATAGCTGATGGTGAGCTATTTGATGATCTTGAGATGTATAAAAAATTGGTGGGCTTTGAATTATCTTATGATAACATGTCCAGATATTGCTTACTCTGTGAGCGTCTTAAGCCAGTTGATGTCTTCTCCTATTGTTATCCATTGGGAAGCTTTAGGACAAATATTGTGCTACTTGAATGATAATCCAACTTGTGGCCACCTTAAAATAATCATGGGCATTTGGACATTGAGTGTTTTTCAGATGCGGATTGTCAAGTTTGAAGGTTGATAGAAGATCAACTTCAAAGTATTGTGTCTTTGTAGGTGGAACTTGATATCATGGACGATTAAGAAACAAAATATAATCTCATGATAGAGTGTTGAATCAGAATATCCAACTGTGGCACAATCTGCTTGGGAAATAATTTGAATTCGTCAGCTGTTAAAAGAAATTGATTTTAAGTCGTCCTTGTCTGTAAAGTTATGGTGTAATAATCAAGCTACTCTCCACGTTGCATGAAATCCTGTATTTCATGAATGAACAAAACATATTTATTGATTGTCATTTCATTCATGAAAGGATATAACAAGGTGTTTATCTTTACAGGGCACGTTAAAACAAGTTAATAGTTATGAGATATCTTTACAAAAGCTCTAAATGGAACTCGAGTTGACTATTTTTGCAACGAGTTGGGCATGGTTAACATCTATGCTCTAACTTGAGGAGGAGTGTTAAAGATTAGTTGTAAATAGATTTCTATTAAGAGTTAGATTCCTAATAGATTTGTAGTATCTTCTATATGTATATATATGTGACCCTATTGATGAAAATATACACAATAATATTCTTCCACATTGAATTACAAATATATTGGATATACACTTTTTGAAGACGCAATAGAACATTACTAAAATTTGTTAAAGCTATTATTATGCACAAATCATATTTATGCTAGGTGCTCTGATGCTTCATCTTTCTTTGCTTTCTCTTTGTCGAGCAAGTGCAGTTTTTGAGCATCAGGCATAGCCATAATGATGGTATTTAGCTTTCTATTAATCTCCTCAACCTTTTCCATGAGTCTGTCATTTGTAAACATTCCCAGAAATACACTCTGGATGATTTCCCAGCTTTCAAGCAGCGGCAGAGCAATTATTACTGCCGATCCGATGGTGCCCCATGCTATAGCTATCACTGCCCAGAATGTAAAATATCCCAAGCCGAATTCCCCTGCATTGTAGAAGAAGACAAGTTAATCTATCTACTAATAATTCACTAAATTTGAGCACTATGGATTGTCATTGCTCTTACATATAAAGCCCATGCTTGTATTACGGTCTGTTTTCGCCATTGCAAGTGAAGAACATTTGAAACGGTGAAACATTGCTCGTAAGAGATTGAATTTACCTGCTGGAAGAGTCAGAAGTGGCCATAATATGACAATCACAACAGTGAAACCAACACCCCATTTGATTATCCAAGCTTTAGCTTTGGTAAGTTTCTCCTCCTTGAACTCTTCTATTGGTAACTCATCCTTTTCCTTTTCGACAACTGTAATCCGCTTCGTGGTCTCCCAGTCATAATTTTGGGGCGACAAAAGACTACAGACAGCATGAATAGCTCCACCTGTAAGTATAGAGACAAGGTTTCCGGCGAGCATTGGTGCATTCCGGCCAGTAGTGTCAAGATTTACATTTTTATATTCAATAGCTGTAACTGATAACCAAGTTATAATCCCCAGAACACAGCCAATGATTGTTCCAAGAATTGCACCTATTGCGTTTGCTTTGCTCCAAAGAAGCATAAAAGCTATAGGAAGAACAGCAGAACCAACAAGCACTCCCATTGCAAGATACATCCAACCTAATGAAACTCCAGCTTTATTTAATATTACTGCTAATATTCCCATAAAACATCCAAATCCTAGAACAAAAATTCTTGAAACTTTGAGGATTTTATTCCCACTCGCGTTTTGATTTATGTAAGTACGGTAGATATCATATGTGCATAATGATGAAACAGCAATTAGCTCAGAGGATCCAGCAGATGTCACAGCCCTGATCATTTTAAAAGCTTAACTTTGATCAATGGATGTTTGAAAGGTCAAGATTAGCTACTAAATAGTAATAAAGCTATGATAAATTGCAACTTACATGAAGAGCATCGTAAGAAGAAGTATAGATCCTCCTTTCCCCATCAAAGCTATAGCAGTAGCAGGAGGAACAAGTCCATGGCTTGCCTCACTCTCCGTTATAGGTAGGTCAAGGGCAAGTGCTCCTAGACCTAGAGATGTTGCCAAAGAGAACGGTACGGCAAACCACACCAGTCCACCCAGTAAGTACCCTTTATGAGTTGATGAAGGCCTCGCAGCTATGGCGCTCACCCAGTACCCCTGAAATTTGAGAAAGCTCATAGTATGTATATGCTGATAGATAGATAGAAGAAACCAGAATAAGATTGTAAAGCACATTTTCAAGCTTACATTGTCAACAAAAACTGTACCAAAGTTGCCAACAATATTTATAATCCCAAAAACCAGACCACCTGAGCTCAACAATGTTAGATAAGATCCTTTGTAGTTTCCATTGACAGGACCACAGGATTGCCCTTCATGTGAAATTGGCTCTTGACATACTCTAGACTTACTAGCCACTTCCACCAAACGGGCATAAATGACTTTGGGACTTCCCAGCTCACTACTTGCCGTGTAAACTAAGTACACAAAAATGACCAGAACAACATGCACTGAAAAACACAGCTACATTAGTTAGGCCCTGACTGGAGTTCGAACGGTTAACCTTACAGTCATCGAGACGAATTCAAATTGCCGAGTAAAATCAAGTACCTATAACAGAATGTATATAGCTTGCCAAGAAAGTTGCTTTTAGCCCACCAGCAAGAGTATAAACAATTACTCCAAGTGGAATTAGAAAGCTAGCAGAGTAAATGTTCACTCCAGTGAGTGCATTTACAACAGCAGAACCACCAAGAAGCAGCATAGCAGTTACAATAACGTTTGTGAGCAAGCAAAAAATGAGGAAGACAACATGTGCAGCAGTTCCCCAACTGAAGCATGTAAAAATAGCATTTTATCAGTAAATTTATAGCTAAACTATGATAATCAGTGCCCATTATCTTCAAGATTTAGATCAAACATACCGAGCTTTAACAATTTCACAGATTGTATGAGCGTGGGGAGCTTTTCTTTTGATTTCTATGGCCATTATACCAAACAAGAGCACCTGTTGATTCAAATTTTGAAATTTATACCCTCTTCTGAGACATGTAGTTATAAGTTACTTATCGCTAAGGAAACAAATGGGATAAGGAAAAAGAACATGCCTGGATAGTAGCCCCACTAGCATACCAAAAAGGTCCACTAATTCCATACTCCCAAGCAACATTGGAGCTTTGCAAAATTGTAGCAGCCCATGTCCACTATGCAATTTCATGATCATTAAAATCGTGATTAACCTAATAATAGGATTTAGGAATCAACTATACAGCTAATTCTCTCAAGTATCTATATGTATCTCTTTCTTTCTCTCCTGCTTATGTGCTCTGTACAGTCACTCAATAGGTAAATCATAAATTAAAAAACATGAAACAAATTTTTTTGTTTATTTTATTTTTGCAATTCCCATATTTTTAGATAACTCTTACATAGTTGAGACAATAAAACTGGGATTGTAAACAAAAAGAGCTTAGCCATTTTATTGAGATTGAGCTTGGCCCCATAAAAGTATACTCGAGCTTGAAGAACCAACCTCAATCTTAACTTATTTACAGTTTCATAATTCAAAAAAGGTTGTGGTATTTTTATGGGCATAAACTCGAGCTTGAACAGGGGCCGTTTATTAAATAAGCTACTACCAGCTTTTTCCGAACTGAATCTCCAGCAACTCATTAGCAGCTTGGCTGATTAATGGTGCTCATAAAACCCATTCATCCACTGCATTCAATAACTTGTGGGACTTACTTGGGATACAATTGCACTAGCAATAAGTCCAGTTTTGACATTCCTGCCTGCTGTGTTGAACCATTCTGAGGTATGCCGAGACCCAACATATCTTTTCTCCAACCAAACCTGAAAAACCCAAATATTCACAATATAAAATTTAAAAACTAAGTTTGGTCAACAGAGATTTCAAGTTCCGTATTGGGTCAGAGCTAATCAATTAACGGAAAAACAGGAATTACCAAGAAAGAAGTGAAGACAGCAAAAAAGACTCCAAAACCAAGAATAACAGAGTAGCCAACGCCTTGATTGAGGACAGGCTTGCCCTGAAAGAAACTGGATTGCCTCAAGCACTCTCCTCCATCTTCAGACACTTTATAATACTTCGCTGAGAATCCAAAAGGCGGACACGTAGAAGCCATTGATGAACCAATAAGGTCTGTATATATCTTCTTAATTTCCACTTCAATTGCACTTCTTCTTCATTTCTTTCTTTCCTAGAAAAAAAGAAGTCGTTGGTTTTGGTCTTAGCAGTCAGTGTAAAGAGTCCTGTTAATTATAAAGACTAAGGAGACATAGAGAAGAAGGAGACAAAGTCTTTGCGTTGCTCACTACGAATCTCTTGCTGGAATCTCTTGGAATCTGATCACAACCAATCCATTTATTGGACGTTTTTTTTTTATCTTTTTATTTTCAGTATTAAATTAACTCTACAGTCAATAGAATACAGGGGTGTGCACGGACCGCAGGAATCCTGATCATTATAAAAAACCGTCCTGAATTTTTCATCCCGAGAAATACCCAATATTAATTTAATAGTTTCGTTCCGAATTTCATCTAAAAAATAATTATGGGATGAGACTGGTTCTTTGATTAAAATCGACCTGTACTGTTACAAGTTTCATCCCATTCTGTCCCATTCCAAAATCAAGTATTTCCGTTCTATTTTTTCTTTAAAATTTTAATTTTTTTATAAATTTCAAATTATATCCATAAAATCATTTCATTGTTTGATTTTTAGTTTTTTTTTTGATGCCAATTACTTGCAGAAGTAATGTTAATAGAAAAAAAAATTTTTACCGATATAATATTATAAATCGTTTATATTTGAAAAAAATGAGAAACCGATATCATTATTAGTTATGTCTTAAGTATTCTTCCAAATATTTTCACTGCCATTTTGAATATAATTATCTTTAGTTGAGTTAGAATATTTTTCCTTCATTTTTTAAAAAAATTGAATTCAAGTGTTGCTAATTGAGTTGAAATTATTGTAAGAAATTTATTTATTTTGACTTATTGATTATGTTTTCTTTGGTTAACTAAAATATTTGGGTTAAGCTTTATAATCCAAAAGGTCTAATTTAAATCCATTATTAAAGAGTGATAAGTAAAAGTATTAATGGATCAATTAAATGTGTTTGATTTAAATGTGGTTAATCGTAAATTGAATTAGGATTTTATATCCTATTAGGATTATGATGGGAGACCCGAATAGTTTCTTTTATATATATACTATTATTTTTAATGTGTGTTGCACATTATTTATACTCGTTGTACTTACTCATTACATTTATTATTTTAGAACATATAAAATAAATGCATTAAAATATAACGCTTAATTATATAATGAATTTTTAAATAAAAATTAATAAATAAAAATTAATTTCTTCAAAAAAAAAAAAATTTAGCTAAGAGATTAAGAGTAAAATAATTAATTAATATATATGAAAACAAAGGAGAATAATAAAGTAAAGAGTTTTTATTAATTGAAATCTATTAAGAAATTGTAGTAAATCAATATATATAATAATCCTCATTTTCGCCTACGAATGTAATGTATGACTTGACTTGAGAGCTTATGTATTGCATCATTGTATTAGAAGAATTCTTTTTTCTTTAGGCTCAAAAGAGCCTATAGAGTGGGGTCCCGTCTCTCCAGCCTTCATTTTGGGTGCTCCGCATTTTGATTCTTTGAATGTATAATAGAATTGCATTTTCAATATACTGAGAGCTTATGTATTGCCATCATTGTATTAGAAGAATCTTTTCTTTTAGGCTCAAAAAGAGCCTATTAGAGTGCGGGTCCCCGTCTCTTCCAGCCTTCATTTTTGGTGCTCCGCATTTATGATTCTCTGAATGGCCTATAAGACATTGTGGCCATTCCTGTTCTCGGCCGCGTGACTCCCATGAGCTTATATTATATATAATTATATATATATATATATATTATATATATATATATATATTGCATTGGTATAGGCATCTCACATAAAGTATCAACTTTAAAATTAAAAATTTCTTTAATTAGAATAAAACGAAATTATCCTTGATGACAATTTTTTCAATATAATTTTAATCAATCGGATAAAATTAAACAATAAAATTAAAAGTTTCCTAATTAGAATGAGACTAATTATCTTTATTGATATTTTTAATCAATCAATAAAATACCAATAAAATTAAAAAATTCTTAATTAGAATAGGACTAAATTTTCCTTAATGATATTTTAAATTAACGAATCTATAATATATATACAAATATTAAATTGAACTTAAAATAGAAGTCCAACAATTAATTAAAATGTTAAACAGAATATATGAAACAGGATACATTTATCTTTATGTGCTTAAATTAAAATTTTTATTCCTTAATATTTGTCCTTTATGAATCTAAAATGTACCGAAATACTGTTGCAATGTTAAAACTAAAAAAGAATAAACAATAATTTGATCAATCTAATTCAAAAATATGTAAAAATTCTAGAAAATAAAAAGTTACAACCATTAGCTAAATTAAATATATAAGAAACTAATAAACTTATATTTATTACTAAACTATAAAATTTAATTTTTTTAAAAAATATACAATTTAATTAGAAAATTAAGACTAAACTATAAAATTTAATTTTTTTAAAAAATATACAATTTAATTAGAAAATTAAGAACAAAATAATTAATAACTCCACGATGATGATGAATATTAGACTTAAAAAAATATAAAAAATTCGCTGCAAAAAGTTATGAATATAATAAATTGGTAAAAACTAACATGTCCCAATTACATATTTAGAAGAATATTTACCTTTATAAGTTGCAACAATTGATCTTTTGTAACCATTCTAATAGAAGTCTTCTACTTTCTAACGTTTGCTTTCTCTCAATTAGCTCTAAAAAGGCCTATTTATAGCAAGCGCTTAGGTTAATTAGATTAATATTAGGATTCCTAATTGATTTAATATTCCTATTTAGTTGATATAGAATATTCCTTAATGATTTTATTTAAAATAAATAATTTATAATTAACCAATAAAATTAAAAGTCTATTGGGATGTTTTAAAGACCCAATGACCTCCCCATTCGTACTTTTATATCCCCATTCGTACTTTCTAATTATAGTATTATAATCTATACTATACCGCTATATTATATATATATTATATATATATAATATATATATAATATATATATATATATAATTATGTCATTTCTTCTCTAGTCTTATGCCATTAAAAAAGGACAAAATATTCTCCATTCCATAGAAGCTTCATTGTAGACATTTAGAGAATAACACTGCTTTTTCATCTCTTTACTCCATCAGCTCCACCAGCGGCTGCTCTACTTTGTTCATCTGAGCTCAATTTTCTTACCCTTATCAATATTATGTCATTTCTCTCTAGTCTATGCCATTAAAAAGACAAAATATTCTCCATTCATTAGAAGTTCATAGACATAGAGAAGAAGCACTTAGCTGTTCATCCTTTACTCCATCAGCTCCACAAGCGGCTGCTCTACTTTTATGAGCTCCAATTTCTTACCCTTATCAGCCACTGCCACCTAACCTCTTTCAATAACCACTAACTTTTAACCAACCTCCTCATTCCTATTACCATTATTCCTAATTGTCATAATAGCCACCAGCTTTACCATCTTATCCTTACAAGTTGCAACCAGCATACCATCAATCTCAGTCCCATTAACATCACCACCCTCAAGCTCAACCTCAGCATTCCCAACTATCATAGCAACCACTAGCTCTACGTTCCTACCTTTACTAGTCATAACCACCATACCAACTGCCGCAATAGCCATAAACTTCACCTTTTTACTATAGTCATAACTACCATACCATCCAACCCACCCTTACCAGTCGCAACCACCATACCATGCACCCCATTCCTATTACCATCATCATCCACAACCTCAATCTTAGAAAAATTTCCCAAAACCCTTCATCCTAATTACTATTCCCACCAATTGTCGGAACAACCGCTACCATCACACAACCCCATTATTCTCAGTATGTTGCCTGATCCATTTGTCAATATCAAAATTCTTGGATGGGAAGAGGATGTGACTATGTTGAGCTGTTCATCTATTGGTAAGCAGGTGTTTGCAAGGGTTAGTAAATCTTGCCCCCTTGATATGCACATGTTTAATATAAACAAGGCTTAAATTCTAAAAGCAATTGAAAGATTCTCCATTTTGAATGAATTCTAGTATATCTACGAAGATTGCCAACCATTTCGAACTTACCTGAAAAACCTTTTATGTGAGGAGTAAGAAAAGCAAAAGGAGGAGCAAGTGAAGAAGAAAATTAGTGTTATATTTGCCATTATTAAGTAAATATCACAATTTTATTTATATTACGATTGAAATTTTAAAAAATAAACAAACAATAAAAGCTAGACCTTATAAATATTTACAAAATATTCCTAATTGATAATTATATTGGAAATTTATATTACAAGAAGTCTTTTTTATGAATCTTATTTATGTTTGTAATGTAATTAATTGTTTTTTTTTGAAATTGATATTGCATAAACTTCCTACTTAGTATTAGAAACATACACCTTGCTGACACTCTAACAAAAATGTCATATAGTAACACATAAGAAATGTTGCTAAAACTTCTAAAAATGTCACTAAATGTTTTTACCAACATTTTCCCTAGATGTTGCTTAAATGTCACTTAAGTGGGTGTGGTTTAAAGTTAAAGCAACAATTAATACAAATGTTGGTATATATGTATAGTGACATTATAATGAACCTACTACAACATATATTAAACGTAACTATATATTTGAACTAAAATAACATTTATAAAATGACACCTAAATAATTTACAAATTGTCATTAAATTTATATGGCAACATATATAAATGTTGTTTTAGGTGTCTATTGTAATATTTACAAAATGTGGTTCAAAATTATATCAAAACGTCACTAATATAATTTTATACAATGTTTAGCATATTTCAGTTTTAAACTATATTTTATCACTACAAGTAGTTAATTAATTGTTAATGGATATGTTATTGCAACAATTATAAAAATGACACTGTATTTTAAGCAATAATTATTACAAATGTAGGTATATGTATACAATATTCCTATAAATCTTGTGGCAACATAAGATAATTGTCTTTAGTACTAAAATGAAATGACATTTATAAGCGATGCCTATAAAATTTAGAATATTTATGAAATGTTATATGAATAATAAATATAAATTGTTGTTTTAAATTTCGATTTTGATAATTATCAAATATTTTAAAAAGTTATGTCAAGAAATATCATTAATAAATTATATTGTTACATTTAACATCTAGTAAAATAATAAGTGAAATCATAAATATATCACAAAA